TTTCTCGGAACAGCCCTTTTGTGCACGTCACTTCTCCGGATTGGCGAGGGCAGCCTTGCGCGCCGACGCGGGCGGCCGAAGCGCACGACGCTGCGACCGAAGGTTCGCGAGTTGCTTCCGCAAGCCAGGTGGTTCAGGGTCCGCTTCGTCGAACTGGCTGGTCTCCTTGATGAACTGTTCCAAGAGCGTGATCCGCTTCTACACTTTTGCAACTTTTCGAGCATCTCGTCGTCCTTGTCGTTGTCGGCCTTGTCCTTGTCACCCGTGTCCGCGAAAAAGGAGGCCTCATCCTTGTATGACTTTATATTCTTGAACTCGAGCGCCATGGCCTCCAACGGCTGCTGCATTGCCTTGTACTCGGCTCCATGGAGCAGGGGTCGCCTTGCCTCCGGGTCCAGCACCACCAAAACTGAGCGGGACGGAGCACGCTGCTGCTCCAAGGCCTTGGCTGCCTTCTGCGCGCGATTGATAACGTATGTCGGGGCAGCTGCTCCGCAACGGTAGCGGATGCGACTCGCCCAGTTGCTCGGTGTCCCACACGATGGGCATCCTCATGTGGGCTTCTTGAGGCCTTGCAAGGTGGGGCCAACATGCACCATGGTACCGACGAGTCTCTCGCCAGCTCGGCACCTGCACAATAGAGCACCTCATCGCACGCCGTGAAACTAGGCGGCCCGCGCTGTGAGGCGGGCGGTCCTGACCAGGGCTGACAGGCCGCAATCTCTGAAACCTGCCGTGGTGACAGCGGTGTCCCTTCTGGCCCGAAGGCGCGGAAGTCCTCTGGCACAAGCAGATTGGGCCAAAGCGGCGACGGAGGAGGAGGCGGAGAGAGCGGGGGAGCAAACATGATGCTGCCCGATGTGCGGTGCAGGCCTGACGGTGCAGAAACGTACCCATATAACTCTTACACCTTGAAACGCACACAGTACCCGCTCTTGTGTGCGAGTGCGGCGCTAGATTCTAGTTTTCTGGACGTGCTCCCAGCACGCCCCCTGGCTACAGGAGGGGCGAGGACGCTCGTGTATCAGGGCTTGTGTGTGTTTGGTCGTGTGAGTGGTCATTTGTGTCGCGCGCACCCCTGCACACCTCCGCCATTTATCCTTCACTCCTCTCCGGCCCCCTCAACTCCCGTGCGGAGGCAGCAACAAAGCCAAGCTGTTGCAGGCGGGGGTGATGGTAGGCAGGGTGAGGAGGGAGAGCTAACGATGCCGTGCCCGACGCGCTGCAGAAGACTCCCAAGGTCGCGCGGGCTAGAAAGACGCCATATCCTGGCCGACTGCACAGCTGCCCAGCCATCACCCTTGCAGTCCTGTGCCGCACTTCGAGGCTGAGTTTTTCCCAGCAGGAAAACCTAGGAGGGGCGGCATGAGGAAATGTAGCCGTGATTATCACAGTGGCAAGTTGCGTGCTGACCTGGCCAACAAAAGTAACATAGTTTCCCACGCAGCGGCCCGGATTTTACATCTCGGGCCCTCTCTAGCAGACACTGGCTTTGACACGCCGCGACGCATCTTGACTATCCATACGCAGCGTTGATCGTGATTCCGTGCCCCATCACACGTTCATATGTTGGTCTGCTGCTGAGCGGCCTCCAATCTTCCCCTCTTCCGCACTTCGATAGGGCAGGGAGAAATCTGCACCCTTAGAGCGAGCACTGCCATGTATCACACAAGGCGCAAAGCACGCGATGGGTGGAGGAGAGTGTGGGGGAGTGAGGGAGTGAGCGAGGAATATGAACGGCGAATACTGCGTGCGGGGGTGATCAAGACAGGGGGGGGAGGCGAAGGAGGAGGAGGAGGACAATGGGGCCCCGCGCTACCGAGATCGAATCGAATTTGTCGAGGCACAGCGATGGCTACTTTTATGTTTCCTGTTCCTCATGGCATTCACTCTCCTCCGGGCATCTCTGGCACTGCAACAAGCCAGCGTCCACAGAGCAACGAATTATCTCACGTATTCGACCGAATTGGGTTGCAGCTCGTACTCGTCGCATACATGTTGCCCTCAAAGACGTCAGTTTACTTATCAAACGTACTGTTGTTTCAGGGCGTACCGTGGCGATAAGGACCGGCATGACCTCTGTACCAACACAGTAGACGGCGGAATGAACAAAATGCGGTGGATGTCATACCCAGCGCGCACGGTACACCAGATGTAATAACGAGCGCTGAATTCTTACAGCTTTCTCTCCCATTGCGGCGACCTCACATTTGCAATGCTTTTCCCTCGACTCCGCCGTCGTGTGCTCCACGCATCGGCCGATGTGACACCGTGGATACCCTGGACCCGACTCCTGACATCCTTGCCAGCACAGGCGAAACGACCGCAAAGGCCACAACCGAAAATGTTGACACAGGTGTTTCTGACCAAGTTGAATTGGCTTCAGTGCTTTCATTTGCAAACAAGCCAAATGTTTCCGACGCGGCCGCAGTACACACAGTGCTTCAGCAAGGCACCTTTTTCTCGCAGTCCATACAAGCCTGGCGCGCTAAGGCTCGACTCATCTGTCTTCAAAAACAACAAGACCTCAATGGTTTGGAAGATGTTCTGGGAGCACGAGGAAAAGACGGCAGATGGCAGTTCACCAATGGTAGCAGTAAACTATATGTCAAGACCGATGCTATTGACTTGTTTGCCGCATGTATGCAGACAGCTGCGCGCTTCGATTGATGCAAAAACTTGTCACATCACGAATGTTTGACCTTGCCTTGAAACATGCTAACAATCACGGGGGCGACGAGAAATTATTTCCGACCATGTTGGACAACGAATCATATTTGGACACACTTCACCACGCCGTTGCAAAAAGGCATGCTTGCATCATGCAGGATGCAATCTTCCCGACGCGTCGCGTTCGCCATTTGATTTTGCAGTACGTACCCCCTTGCATTCTCATCACACCAGACGACCTCGTGAGCGTGCCGACCGCCATTTTACAGCACTGAGCGAGTCGACCGGCATCGGCAGACCCAAGCGTGAGGATTGACTTGTCTAGGACCCTCTGTGAGTGCTGTATCGAGGAGGTGGTGGTCTGGATTTAACGGAGGAGAAACAGCGCACTGTACCCAGGACCCTGGGTGAGGGCACGAGTCTATTCGCAGATCAGTTTCCAGTTTAGCGGCGCACGTGCATCATCCTTTAGGAGGGGTGCGAAGTGGTGGAGGAGTCGCATGTGAGGAAGAGGTGGTGGAGGAGGAGGAACCGATCTCCTAGTTTTGCGGTGTGTGCTCGAGCGCAGCGGCGCCCGAGACGAACTGCGACTGAATTTAGCCACGCTCTCTGTCCGCTCCGCTGATAGTTTCCTGACCGGGGTGGGCCCCTGGGGCACGTGGCCACCAGGGCAGACCATGGAGTTGGCACCTCTCAGTTGATTCGCGCGTATGGGAGGCCGCTTCTTTCTGCCACCGGTCGTAGTGCCCGAGGCGTAGAGGTGGAGGCTTGGATGAGGGTGGATCAGAGGAGGAGGCGAGGAGGCAGCGGTGGAATAGAAAGCTTCTTTGTGAGCGCCCGGTGCTTCCTCTGCAACCTGCAGTGGACAGGTCACCTTGATGTCGCGGTGTATGCTCGAGGGCAGCGGCGCCTGAGACGCCATGGGGTCGGCATCTCTCAGTCGATGTGCGTATCTGGGAGGCCGCTTCTTCCTGCCACCAGTCGTGGGGAGGAGGAGGACGAGGACGAGGACGAGGAGGAGGAGGAGAGGATGGAGGATGGAGTAGTATTGTCCTAACGGCGCGTAGGCCACAATCTTTCTGCCACCAATCGTGGCACCCGAAGCGTAACGATTTGGTGAATGGATGGAGGATGGGGAAGGGGGTCGCCTGCTTCCTCTGCAACCCGTTGTGGACCGAGCGCCTTGACATTGTGATGCACGTTCCAGCACAGCAGCGCAAGATATGAAAATGTATGAGAGGCCGTTTCTTTCAGACATTAATATTGATCTCTGCAACGTGCTGTAGACCTATCACCTTGCTGTTGAAATGTATGTTTTAATGGCCGCCTGGAACTATACTTAGCAAGTCAATCGGCTAGGGCACTTTTCCCGACCACTTTCAGAGGAGGAGGCTCGGAGGGCATTGAGGGGTGCTGGATGGTAGAGGACGAAGACGTGCGAGTCGACCGCTGAAAGCGTGTTGTCCGCCAGAACTTTACTCACCGAGTTTCTGAACAGTATCTTGATTCAGAAAAACAAATATACAAGGCTTTTGACTGCCTAAGACCAGCCAGTACCGTCTGAGCCAGCCTCCACACGGCAGAAAACCGCATGCTTCACATTGCCGCGTAGGTCAGCCAGACGATTCGGCCAGCCTGACACTGGAGAGGGTCGGCTTTCGATTACAGTGGTGGGTGCACGCTGCCAATAGATTTTCACAGAATCCCTCGGTGATGGCTTTTCAGCAATTGCCGCACTGTGTCTCTCGGTGAGGGCCTTGACCTGGGAGGGACTGGGGTAGATGAGCAGGAGAGGGGGTGCGAAGGAGAGGGACTTCACCGCCTGGCTGGCGCAACACTGTGCCCTTGTGGGTCCACGGTCTTGTTCCATTCCTTCCCGCCTCTCCATCGGCCGCTGCGCCAGCCTGGCGAGCTTATTGTATTCATTGAGGCCTCACACCGTTTTTTTTTTTTGTTTTTTTTTTTTTTCTAAAGACGCAACAAGCCCAGTTATTCATGTCTGACCAACGCCAAGAAAGGAGGGGGACGAGGAGGCAGGGGCAGAGGCGGAGGAGAAGGAGGAGGCGGAGGAGGTGCAGGAGGAGGAGGAGGAGGCGACGGAGGAGAAGGAGGAGAAGGACAAGGAGGAGGAGGCGGAGGCGGAGACGGAGGCGGAGGCGGAGGCGGAGGCGGAGGCGGAAGAGGAGGAGGAGGAGGAGGAGGAGGAGGAGGAGGAGGAGGACGAGGAGAGAGGACGAGTCCACCTGGAGCGACCACCAATGCTGCTGCCGGTTTTCCTCGCAACTCACGGTGTGACGCGGGGCACTCCAGCTGTCAGGCGTGGAGGCAGCTCACACTGGCGGGGCTGCCGCGGCGACGTCGAAAAATCCGCCGAGATCGGCTGCGCCCGCGCCTGGCGCCGCAAGGCCTGGGGCGACCGGCAGCACCGTGAACCGCCGCCATGCCAGCGGCCGCGGGCCTGCAGGCGCCTCTGCCGGGAGCCGGAGGGCCACGCGCCACTCGCCCGCTGCTGGCGGAGACCGAGACGGGAAGGAGGCCCACAAGGAGCGCGCATGCCGGCCGGCAGCGGCCGACCCCTTCAGACTCTCATTGTCCGGGCCCGCCCACTCCACCAGGAGGTCCAGGCTCAGAGGGAGCGCCTCGAAGAGGGCCAGGAGGCCGAGCTCCCCCTCGCCGGGCCCCACCACGGAAGCCTGCAGCAGCTCCCGGGAGCCCGAGAGCGTCTGCTCCGCCGTCGGAGGGCGCGCGCGGCCCACCCGCAGCGCCAGGATCCTCAGCCCAGCGCGCGGCGGCCCGCCACCGCCGACCGCGGCGGGCCGGGGCGCCCAGCGCTCCACCGCGAATGCCGCCGGCGCGAGCCGCGCCACCAGCCGGGGCGGCAGCAGCTCGGCCGCCGCCGGGGCTCCAGGCACCAGCCTGCGCGGCGAGCAGGCCGCGCCGGGTTCAGCAGTACCCGTGCCCAGCGCGGCGCCGGGGAGCAGCAGCGCGCAGAGGTGCGCGAGCTCGGGCGCCTCCTCCCAGCTGGAGGCGTTGTCCAGGGCGTCGTCCAGTCGGTCCTGCAAGGGACGCGTTGCATCGTCGTCCAGCTTGCGCGCGAAGAGGGAGGGGGTCGACCACGCCTGCGCCAGCGCCGCCTCCAGGTCGGGCTCCTCGTTTAGGTGATTCAGCAAGGAGGGCGACGTCACCTCCACCTCCGAGGAGGGGTCGGGGCCCAGGAACTGGGCAGGCTCGTTCCAGGTCAGCGAGTAGCCGATGTTCTGCAGCGCCAGCGGGCCGCAGGGATCGGCGGCCCCTGGGGGGCCCACCAGCGCCAGCAGCGTCTGGAAGAAGGATTCGTCGGGCTGCGCGAACAGACGGACCTGTTCGAGGGCGCGATCCGCCACGCTGGCTGGCGTACCTCCGCCAGGGAGCGATGCCTGCAACAGCTGCCGGGACAGTGCCACCCACTGGGGCCCGCCGACGTAGGGCTCGGAAAGCAAGGGCTCGGGGATCGTGGCATTGGGCTCCTTGGGAGAGACGAAGTGGGTCTGTTAGGAACAGGGAGAGGGGGGGGGGAATGAGCTCTCGTTAGCCGGCGCTGGAGGCGCCCGTGTAGCGCCGGCGGCGGTGCCGTAACCAGCTGCAGGTGCAACAAGTATTATAACTACCTGGTCCTCCGGTCCCTATCCCCTATCCGTCCCCCGTTCGTCCGACCCGAGCTCCACGAACACGTGGGCGTTGCACTCGAAGACGAGCTTTCGGCTCTTCTCCTCGCGCTCCCAGGGCAGCTTCGGCAGCTCCGCCCTCGAGCGCGCGCCCAAGAACGGCCCGAGGCTCCCGCCGTCGCGGAGCCAGTAATGAATCCCGACGAAGCTCAGCCCCCGGAGCAACAGCAAGTGGGCGTACAGCTGCCCCGGCGACCGCAGCAAGTAGTGGCTCTCGCTCAGCAGCAACGTCCAGTCTGGGGCGTCGGTCGCCAGCCCGCCCGAGAGGCGGCGCATACCCTCCAGGGTGGCGAGCAGCATTGCCTCGCCGCCGCGAGTGATGTTGAAGGCCTGAAATATCTCGATGCCAGGGCGACCAGCGGCCCAGCGCTGCAGCGCCTCGCGCGCCTCGCTGGCGCGGGGGTCCACATGCACTACCACGCGCAGGGTGAGGAGCCCCGCGCCCAGCGTCGCCCTCGCCGCGAGCAGGCGCGAGAGCAGCCGCACGGCGTTGCGCCACCAGCGGTGCACCAGCAGCACCACGCCGAGGCTGACGGCCTGATCTGGCACGGGCACGTGCTCCACGCCCGCGGGCCACTCGCCCCCCAGCGCGGCCAGGCAGGCCCGCGGCGGCTCTGGCGCTGCGACCGCGGAGCCCCGCCGGGCGTCCCTCAGCGCCCGCGCCCGCTGCGCAAGCCGCGCTGGAGCGCGCTGCGGCGCGGCCGCCGCTGCTGCGACGCCTCCGGCCCCGCCGAGGCCGGGCGCGGCAGCCTCCCCGGCGGCCCGCGCGGCCACGCGCTCGCCGACCGCGGCGAGCTCGCAGCCCCAGTCGCGCAGCCTCGCGACGCAGGCCTCCCCGGCCTTCGCGGCCACGCGCTCGGCGAGCGCGGCGTCCGGCGGCGCCGCGCAGGGCGCCACTGGTGGGGGCGGCGCTGGCGGGGCGGGCGCGGCGGCCTCGCTTCGGAGCCCGGGGGGGCGAGGCCGCGGCAGGGCGCCGCCGTCCTCGGGGAGCTGGCTCGCGGCGGCGCTGGCGAGCACCAGGCAGCCGCCGGCCGATGCCACCGCAGCCAGGGCCAGCAGCGCGAGCGCCTGCGCCCCGGGGCGCAGCGGCTGCCTCGCGGGCTGCGCGGCGCCCCCCGGCGCCCTGGCGGGTCCATCCTCGGGCGCAGCGCGGTGTCGCAGCCGGCCGCCCACAGGCCCGCCTGGAGGCGGCATCGGCCTCTCGGGCTCGAGCCACAAGGAATGAGGGGGGGAACGGGGACGGGGTGGGGAAGGGGGAGGGGGGTGCATGAGGGGCATGTACGGGAAGAGGGGGGGGCAACCGACAGGACGGAACCAAAGATGGATGACACTGATGAGCCCTACATCGGTTGCCCTCCCTTCGTATGGTAGGACATTCCTTGCCATGAAGTGGTCACGTCACCAGTCACCCCCCATTTGTTAGTGAGTCGGGCTGAGGCCAACAACTGTTGTCCTTGCGGCGCTCATAGCCTCGGTGGCCGCCTCGACCCGAACTTGCGATAGACTGCGCATTGAACTTATTTGGATCGTGTGCGTTCTGGTTCAGTGCGTTGGATTGTGCATGAAGCTTCATACGATGTAGTAGCGGGGAACGGGGCCAGGGACCAGTGAGGGAAAAGGGGAGTCGGGCACAGGCGGGGTGTGAAGGAAAGAGAGACGGGGACGGGGCATGGGGGAGGACACAACGAGAAAATAGTGGGGCGTGCGCTCTACCGTTTGATTACACTTCATTCGCTCCCCCGCTCCACGCGCTCCTCTTCGCGCTCCTCGTCCTCCTCCTCCTCCTCCTCCTCCTCCTCCTCCTCCTCCTCCTCCTCCTCCATCTCCTCCGCTCTCCTTCATCCTTCCTCCTTCTGCCTTCCTCCGTCCTCCCTCCTCCTCCTACTCCTCGTCCTCCTCCTCCTCCTCCTCCTGTCCCCCCTCTCTATTTGTCTGTTCCTCCTCTCCGTAGCCATTCGGGCACAAGGAGTCCCTGCCGCAGGGCCTTAGGAGGGGCGGGCGTTGTTCTTGGGAGTCGCGCGCGCCCGCCGAGCGATCCATGGGGCCCTGGTGATCAGGCGTGAAAGGCGACGCGGCCAGTGGTGCGCAGCGTGACGGTGGACAAAGAAGAAGGGGTACGAGGTTGTTATAGCGAGTGGCATGGCGTTCACCCCAGTCCCTGCGGGACACCCTGCCGAAGTCGGAAGCGAAGAAAAAGAGTCAACCGACGACGAATGTCATCGTGGCAACCCGGACACTCAAGGCCGCGGAGGAGGGAAAAGGGGCGTGGAGTGGCAAGTCTCAGGCTTAGCTCGTCTAGGTTTATGTGTCTGCAAGATGCGCTGCCTGTGAGGGTTGTGCGCGTTGGAGCGGGTGGGGGGCCAGCGGCCTTCGCCCACCCTTGGGCGCCCTCGCTTCCAGCGTCGCCACGGCCGAATTCGGCTCGGAGGCAGAGGTCTCAACACCGCGACCTGGAATGGCCAGGTCACCTCACGTCGCACCGTTATCTCGATGCGCGATTACCTCCACGCCCTCTCGCCGCCGCCCTGGAGAGGGACAGCTTCGCGGCCCCTGCCGCGAGGCACGAAGCGCGATTTGATCCTCGCGCCCCCGCGGGTGACCTGTGAATCGGCAACACGTCTTAGAGTGACCCTGGGCAAGGGTGACCTGTGGTGCGCGAAACAACGGGGGGCGCCGGGGGGGGCAAACCCGGGCGCGCAGGCCGCTGCTACCGCTTCGGGTTCAGCGATCGGGGGGCCCCATTGGGCCTGCACCCAAAGGTCACTCCGGCGAAAGGTCACTCTTGCGCGCAGTCGAAGCAAAGGCTGCGGGGCTGTGCCGCAGAGGGCCCCGGTCCGTCGGCCGTCGGGAGGCTGGGCCGTGGTCCAGGCCCAGCCGCATGGTGCGGCGGGCGCTTCGGGATCGGCGGACCGCGCGCCGCAGGAGCGGCGCGGGCCGCGGCTGGCACCGCGCTTCGTACCTTGATGCCCTGACGCCGTCTTTTCCTCGTCGTCTTCGTCGTCGTCGTCCTACTCCTACTCCTCCTCGTTCTCCGCCTCCCTCCTTCACCTCCGCCGCCGACAACGAGCCCGACGAAGATTATTTGAATATCTGGCGCTCTTACTTGCTGGGGTGTCACTCATGTGTGTCTCGCTATCCCCTGTGCTCGCCCTGCAAGTCTGTGAGCGTGCCCCTTTCTGGGGTTTCTTCTCCATACGAGCTCAAGGGCCAACACCGAAGAGGTAAGAAGGCATCAGAACTCGGACCCTACAATGAGAAGGGGACTGAGAAAGGAGGCATGGATGACGGGGGAAGTAGGAAGAGAGGGGCAAGGAGGTATGGGGTCCTTCTTAGCAGGACAGCTCAGGGCTCAAGAGCTAAAGGGGCAGTTTGCTGATGGGAGCGCCCAGGCAGCCCGCGCCTGGGCGGCGAGAACGAAGAAGCCTGGGGTGAGAACACGATTCCTGAGCAACTGGCAAGGGCTTATCGAGCTGGAGCCGTTGTGGCTGACTCACCTGCTAGGGGCCTCTTAGATGGGGTCCGAGTAGTTGGGAGAACACGATTCCTGAGCAACTTGCGAGGGCGTATCGAGCGGGAGCCGCTGTGGCTGACTCACCTGCTGGAGGCCTCCTAGGTGGGGTCCGAGTAGTTGGGGTCGGAGGATTGCACCGCATCGCCGAAGTATCGGCAATGTACCGGCGATGCATCAGCGAAGTCGGCGATACATCGGCGACGTCGGGTTGGAAAAAACCGGGCTCCACATCGAGTTGCACCGCCGATGCTTCGGCGACGCGGTACGATCCTCCGACCCCACCTACTCCGACCCCGTCTAGGAGTCCTGGACCTGCCTGATCCCACCATATAGGCACTGAGGTGGGGTGTCATCGGGTCCCTCTGTACCCTCTGCGCTGAGGCTTGTAAGCCCTGGCCCTCGTGCTCCAGGCACTCTCGGGCGCTCCCGTTGTCTCCTGGCGCTCTCGGGCATGGCCGCGTGACTTTTCCAGATGCCCTGGGAGCGTTGCTGCGGGCTTCAGCATCCAACATGCTCTAGATGGTCCTGACGGGGCCGTCCTGCGGCCCTCTTGGGGACGAGCCTCTTGGGTCGACTTGGTGACCCTGGGGGCACCCCACAAGGTGAACATTACCCTACGACGTACCCAACCCATATTCACGAAGTGACAAGAACACTGGGTCACATCAATGGGTGATGTCTTGCCTCGGAAGCCGAGTAGCTGTGACAGATGATGGGGAAGTTCGCGGGTCACACGACCCAGACGGATGTAGGACCACATGGGGGAGTGCAGAAAAAAAACGGGCGCGTGGGAGCGAAGTGGCTCAGAGCATCCCGTGGGAGGCATCGAAGCCGAAACATTTATCTGATTTTAATAATACGTCACTCCGCTGGACCACCCGGCAGCTCTCAACATTGGTGGCAGTTTAGTAGTTCACAGCTCCCAGGGATTGCGAGGTCTGTTGGCCACGGGTTCTTTGAGCAAGCTGTGGGGAGTTATCGAGCGGGAGCAGTTCTCGCCCCAGCTGGGCTTTCAGAACCTTGGGTGGCACCGGGCGAGACAGCAATTCTTCAGGGCGGGAGCGCCCATGGCCAGGGCATCTCTGAGTTCACTGTGAGGACGTATCGAGCCGCTGGGCCACCAGGCCCGCACACCAGCGGGGGCCTCGCCTTCGCAGAAAACGTAGCTCGCGACGAAGCGAGGGCGCCCAGAACCGCTTCCATAGCTCAACAGCAACAACTCTCAAACATGATATCGGGTGTTGCTGAAAGTGCCCCTGGCCCAGGTGCCCCTAGCTTCTCGCTCCATCTTGGAGCCCCTGGGGCCCTCTGGGCCTCGTGAGGGGTGCTCTGGAGGCCGTGGGGGCCTCCTTGGAAATCCTTGGGGGCACCCTGGGCCAGGGGCACTTCTAGCAACGCCCGGCTGCCCTTCCACGTCGACGACGACGACACGGCGCTGCCGGTGGCTGTTGTTCTGCCAGAGCACGAAGTCCGGGTCGCCGTCGCCCCACAGCAGGCGCAGGGGCCCCGGCACGGCGTGGTTGCGCAGGACCTGGGCCGCCGCTCTCGTGCCCCCGCCTGCTGCAAATCCTCCGCCTCCGTCCTCTATTCTATTCTATTATCGTTGGGAGTGTCTGTCAATGCCAGACACCCCTAACAGCAAAACAGAGCTAGTCCGAATCCTCTCCCCTCTGGGGGGGCTCCTGACCAGCGGGCGGCAACAAGCCGAACTTGGAGTAGAGCTCTGGAATCGTCCAAGCTTCACCCCACGTGGAGTCAAAAACAGCACCGTCCTCAGCCTCCAAATCCTCCAAAACCTGGACTCCCCTCCTCGTGGCTCGAACCAGCGCAAGGAGGTCTGATGGCAGCGGCGCCCTCTGGTCGCTGACTCGCCACCCTCTGTACTGCTTGGCCCAGCTGGGGAAGAGGCTTTTAAAAGGACGGTTCCTCTGTTGCTTCAAATCCTTCGTGGGGGGCTGCGTGGGACAAGGTTTGCACAACGTGTCTACCCCGCCCCACGCGTAGCCCCCACATCTGATGCAACTCATCACCCACCCACTCCCCGCCACCCGAGCTCCCGCCCCGTCCCAGACCTTATACATTCTAAGGTTGTGACCTTGCAAGAGCACGAGAGCTTGGCTCTCAGATACAGCTTTGGCACTGGAAACACTAGCCTTCGTGTCCGAAAAAAGGGGAGATTTAAAACTCAACAGGGTCCTTCTCGCACCGAGACGGTCAGCCGCCTGCAGAGATCTGCGCTCGAAGGCCCGCTGTCTCTTAGCCTTCGCATGCCAGGGTGGTGCAGGGGCCAGGCCGTCCTGCACAACAGGGGGCTCAGGGAAACCAGTCGAGTCCGACCACGAACGCTGGTTCATGAGGACATCCTGGACCCCTCCCCACCGAATTATTTCCTCCTGGAGTCTCTGGAGGGCACCTACTTGCACCTTGGCCTGAGAGACGTCAGGGTGTTTGGACGCACCAAGCTTAGCAAACCTATCTGCATGCCGATTGCCTTGCCTCTCGAAGGCAGTGGTTCCGCCCTCAAGAATATCATTCATCGTGGCGTGCCCCAACGTTTTGTGGGCGACAATTCCATCTTCAAACACATGCCAGACACGAGACCACATATGGGCCCTGGGATTGCTCGAGCCTATCGATCCATGTCGATCCCAGACGCACCCCAGGGTCCCTTCGCAGTCCGTGTAGGTTTCAAAACTGCCAGCTGCTATGTCAGCAAGCATCACATACGCAAAATCTTCCCCATCACGTGCCTGCTGGAAAGGTGCCGCCTGTAATGGCACTGGCCCATATGCAGCAGAGATGAGGTCACCATTAGCAGACACCGCGCAGATCGACCATCCAGCTCGACGAAACCTGGAAGAGGTGGGGTCGAGAGCCGATCCATCAGTGAAGAGGTGACCCGACATCATCCCACTAGCTGGCTTATTAAACCAAAACACTTGGCACTCACTGGTCGGTAACGCTGGGGTCGTGATCTCACGCGGATCTGGCATCAGCCCTGCAGCAAACTTTTCGAGATCTTGACCGAGCTCACATGCTATTCTGGCTGCGTGCTTGGTCTCGTCGCTGAGGTGGTCCCGACGGTCAGCATCGAAAGCAGCGCGCTCGAATCTCCTGTGGAATAGGGTTCCTGGGGCACCTAAGCAGAGACGACACACACTGTCAGGAGCAAGGTGTTGATCGCATAATGTCTGTTGCGTCCAGGTGCCCATGGAGAAACAATTACGAGCACACGCCTGATGGTGGTCATGCCACACCTCATTTTTGGCCCCGTTGATGACCTTCAAGGCCCCTTCCCAAAACACAGGACGGACCCAGGACTTATTGAGGCACGGTCGACTCTTCAAACCTTTCACATCAGCCCTGTGTCCTGCATCTCTTTCTGCCAGATCTCTGACCGACAACGGGGCAAGCTGGAGGAGGTCAACTTTCCCACCGTCCGCTTTCAGCAAGATCCTCGCACTGACTGGCCGCCAACCTATTTCCGACAGCGTGAGCAGCAAGACGTGCGCAGGCGAAGTTGCACTCAGCCACGGCCTGCGCGTAGAAGCCATTGCATCCACCGCAAGCTCGAACACATACTGCATCACATACAAAGGAGGTGTGCCATCCCATATTGCACGCGCCCATTGATGTATTACATTGGCATGGTACAGGATGTACGGGTCCATGGCTCTGCCCCTATCATGTGCGCGCAGCTTGTATGATGTGATCGCTCCAGCTTTATGCTTGGACATGCTCTTGCACGCAGCTACCCTTAGTGTGTGTACTTGGCTTGCCGTAAGGCCCGCTACAGCAGTACCCCATAGAGCTCCCGCTTGAGGCCCCGCTCTATATACATTACTTATCTCCGCACCAGCCACTTTCAGTTTCCAGAGCCTTCGAGCTTTCCGAGCTGCACCTCGGAGACGCTTTAGTGAAGTCACATTCCTACGAATCCTTCTGCATACGGCATCGCAACCAAGAGACCTGACAGCTTCTTTCACCGTGTACTTCAGATGCTTCCAAGCTTTCTGGAGACCTTCTGAAACCTCCTGAGTCGACGCCAAGAAGACCGTTTTCTTCCCCGAGACAACCAACTCCAAGTCATCAAACCCCTGTCTTAGTTGGATGCCCGCTGCTGAGAGATTCTCGACAACGAACTTGGCAGTGCCCAGCAGCTGCAGCGAAACGTCGTCGACGACGTTCCGAATGTACAGGGAGGGGAAAGTCTGCGCCAAGCAGCACAGGACGCGGTACAAGACTATCTTGGCGAATGAGGTCGCCAAGCTGCAGCCAGCCAATATGGTACCCGTCGCGCGAAAACCCCCCGACGTCGCTCCAGAGAAATCGATGGCCCTGGGCCCCGGATACAGAGCAATAGCACAAACCGCAAGGCCCAGATGACACCCACTATTTTTGGCTTCATCGAACAGGATCCCAGGAGCAACTCTCTCATAAAACTTCTCGAGGTCTTTGCACAGCGTGGCCGACTCGAAACCTTTAGCACGTGCAAATTCTGCAATCATTGCATGTTGCCATCCAGCACGGTCGCACTCCTTGTCCCTGGAGCCCCAAAAGAACGCAGTGCGATGCTGAGCCTCCCAGGCCCTCATTTCACACTGCCTAACTCGGCCCCAGAACCTGAAAAGCGACAGGATGAGCGCCAAAGGCCTGAGGCCCTCCCCTTCTTGCTTGCCCTGAAAGACAATGATCGTGGGGTACTTATCTGGAATGCTGAAAGGATCCCTCTCCCAGGCCATCATCACATCAATGAGCCTAATGAGGAAATCCTGAGGCAGCAGGGCCCAAGACCTCGGGTTGATGTCATCCGCTCCGAGGCCCGCTTCGTGCTTGAAGCGGTGCAAGGCCCACCTCACAACTTGCAGATCGGGTCTTCCAAGAGGTTCAGACTGTTTAGCTAGCTCCAGTTGCACTTCTGAAAGCCCCGACCTATGACTCTGCCAATAGCCGTTCCATTCTCTCTCGAGCGCCTGGATCGCCATGTCCCCCTGGAGTTCAAACCCTTGGTCCCCCCGAGGTCCGACCACAGGCATCTTCATCTTGCTGTACCTGTGGGCCTCCTTGCCTCCCTTAGTCACTGACTCCTTAGCCCACGCTTTCCACTTAGCCCATCTCTTACGCGAGTGCTGGCTGAGCAGGTGATCATGCGTTGATCTGGCCTTGGGCAGGAAAAAACCCAGCTCTCGGCCATCCGTGCAAGTGATAGCCTCGATCATGTCGCTGATCGATGGCGCAATGACTAAAAACTGAGGCAGCAGCAGCTCTTCGTCTAGTCGAAGTAGGCTTGCCTTGACTCTCTCCCAAAGCGTGCCCTCGAAGTTGTTCGCAGCACAGTGTTCAGCTTTAGCAAGCAAGGCCACGAGCGAGCGCCACGCCCTAAGCTGGGGAGTAGAGTTGGAGAACCACTTCTTCCGCAGAAACAGCTCCAGAGACAAGACCTTCCGCTGGAACCCTTGGGACCTCCCAAGATAAACCTGCCTAGCTTCACCGTATATATCACATATTCGACAAAGCTCAAACTCCATATTGGTAATCCACTGTTCCCAGGAGCCCAAGAAATCAATATCATCTCGTCCAGGATCCCAAGACCAAACTCTATGTTCAGGCTGTCTGATACACCCTATAGGCTTCTTTGTCGGGAAACGCTTCCTCTTAAGCCTAACGTGGATCGGGATTGACATCGAGATTCCTTTCAACCAAAGGTCGACAGGCGAGTGGGGACTGATGGGCGCGTCGTGGAGCACCCTGACACTCTCGACGCACTGGCTCAGGCCGTGCGACAGCAAGAAAAAATCAAGATTGTTGCCAACGCCTGCACTGCACGTCGCTTCAGCTGAAGCCACCACCGACGCTCCAAGCTGGGAGCACCAAGCTTTCAGACCTTCAGAGTTCGGCTCCATGTTAGCGTCGCAGCCGATGACCCAGGGCACGGTGAGGGACTCCAGGAACCTTCCAAGCCCAGCTAAGAGGTCCGCATTCGCGCCCTTGACCCCGATCGAATGCCAGAAATACACAGAGACCCAGACAATGCCCCCAGGAAGCACAGCTTGAACATGCCTAGCACAGACCCTACCTGCTGCTTGGGGCACCTTGGTGATCTCCTGGGCCTCTAAGGTCTTCTGATTCAAGAACTTCCGAGCTCCCGTCATCACCCCAGCAGACGTTGATAGCACATGCTCACCAGTGCTGACAGCAGGTACAAAGTCCACGCAAAGTCCTTTACACCTGAGGGCCTTTCGATGCTTATCGATCTCCTCCTGGGCTCTGATCCTGGTTTCCTGCCCGGCGTAGAAATGGGGAGGTGGGAGGCCATGTTTTTCATCCAGCCTCCAGTCCAAGACGGTTTCCCAAGAAGACCAGGAATTAGCATTACACGTCATAAAGCCCCAACTTTTGTCCTTTTGCTTTTTGGCCCTTGCCCGCTTGGCCCCAGGCGTGGCAGGTTGATTGCCCCTGCCTGCTCGGTCAGCCCCATCTTCATCATGCAATGGTAGCTGCAAGTCCTGAGGCGAAGCCGCAGTCGCTGGCCTAGGAAGCGGAGAGGGCGCAGGAGCATCGTGCCTGAGGCTCCTCCTACGACGATCATCGGCAGCATTATCATCATCTGGCTCACGCTGTGGTACCTGCTCATCATCTTGCTGCAGGGCATCGTCTGCAGGTGTTGGTCGAGGTAGCCCATCACGTCCGACAAGAGGCATGATTTCACCATCAGCATCTTCGCGATACTCTCGCACTGCTGGGGGGGCAGCGTTACCCAGGTATAGCCTCATTACTCTGCGCGTGTGCCGCAGAGCACTGAAGTGCCGACTGACTGCCCTTTCCCAAGACTCATGCGACTCACGTCTGCCGACCCAGTTCATGTAATCAATCACGTTCCTTCTCCCAGGTCCTGAACTCTGCCAGCAGCCAAAACAGATGTCTTGAGCCATCTGCTCTATCGAGCGTCCAGCCGCTGCCTCTTCCGTCCACGATACCACTTGAAGTTTCGCCATGACGTAAGGTACGCTCCAGGTCATCCAATCGTGGCACCCGCTGGACTCGCAATCTAGTCTAAGTATCCATCCAGTCGCCCTCAGAATCATCGCATCAAGAAATATTTGCTGAGGTGAAACTGGATCCTCTGGAGGTGGCTCAACATCCATGTCAGTGGGCCCTCCCAATTTACCCACAGCGTTCTGACCTATCGAGGCTCCCCGATGGTCGGTACTGCCGTCCTCCTTTGCCTGATCGGCTTGAGGGCGACAATGCGTGCCACCGGGGCCAGCTGCATGGCGACGACTGTCCCCAAACGGGGCCGCACAGGCAGTCGACAAGGTACCCAATCCTGCAGATGTGCTCTGCGTCGCTCTTGGCCTCGACCCCGAGGAGCGGGCCAGTCGAGGCAAATCAGGTGGCACAGAGTGTGGCTCAGCGTCTTCCTGTGGCGACTTCTGCGGCTCCCAAGGAGCCGTGAGTGCGCCGTTTGACGCCGAGGCGCTCGCCCACGCACCTGCTCCCGAAGTCCGTGTGGGCTGTGGGGGGGGACGAACGGGGGCTGAATCCCCGACCCCACAGCCCAGGCTGCTGACCTCTGGCGCGTAGTACTTCGGGTCAAACCTGGCATCGTCGAACATCTGTGAGCGCTGCAGAGAGGGGATCTGAAACCCAACGTCAGGCCACTCCACATCAATCTCCTTCCCAGCCAAGAAGTCGCCAGGCATGATGACTTGCTGCATCTCAACATCATGCTGCCCATCATTTCGCTGTACCTCAGCTGGCAACTCATCGCATATCACGTAGCACTCGTAGTGCGTGCTGACGAAGTAGAGCAAGAAACCTAGCGACAGCTCACCTTGGCACAACTGTTCTGATGCTGCCGCCGAACCACTCAATCGAACTTCGTCAGACGAGTTACCCTCTCTTTCGCCTCTTTGCCATGGCTGCAATCTGTTCAGCCAGTAGACGCTTTGCTCTGGTAAGCTCCTGCTCAGCTTTAGCTTTATCGTCGCCAGTTGCTGAGGTGGCCGCCGACATGGCTGCTGCCACGCTGGCCTGTGCCTTTCCAAGCTTATCAATGTCCTCATCTGCGTCGTCGAGGTCCATGTCTGCGTCGTCGAAGTCCTCGGCGTCGTCGTCTTGCTCACTGCCCCCTGGCACAGCAGGAGGAGGGCGCATAGCGTTGTTTGCAGCAACAGCTTGGGCCTCCATGAGCTTGCGGAGCGTCTCGAAATGCGCATCCTCCGTTGCTTTCTTGGAGACGAACCATTCCCTGAATTCAGTACTGGCACCCGCCAAGATCGACTCGTCCATCTTGAGTATGGGCCCGCTGCCGTCAGAGCAGAAGCCTTTGGCGAAGGTTTCCTTGGCCTCTTGCTGCAAGGCCAGCTGTTGACGCCGTGCTTCCTGCAGCGCCGTCTCAGCATCCTCGAGCTTCTTGTCCAGCTCGTCCTTGGCCTTCTGTATCTCTTCCCTGTTGTCCGAGACATGCTTCTCCAACTTCGTGACGTTGTCCCTTGCCCTCTCCAGTCTGGTAGTGACTGAGTGAGCTTGTACATGCAGAGGTTTGGCCTCCTGTATCTGGTGCTGCAGCTGCGCGACCATGTCCTCCGCCATCCTCTTGTCAGTGTCGTGCACCGAGAGCCGCGCCGCCTTCTGCCAGTGGGCGAGCCTGTCCTTGAGCTCCTTCTCAGCTGACTCCACCTTGTCAGCCCATGGCGGCGACTTGGCCACCACTCTGGTTGTTGGCTTCTCCAAGCTCTCGAGCCTCTTGACAATCGCCTGCAGAGCCTTGTCCAAGGACGCTGGTGCGCCATCTGCCCACCTGCCCTTAGGCCCTTTCTGCCCAGCAGCTCCATTCCCTGCAACTTCCCGTTCGTGTGCCGACTTGGCTGCCTTGGCAACCGCAGCTGGAGCTGGTGAGCCGCAGGCGCAGCGGATCCTGCACGCCCAGTTGCCTTTCCTGTGGCACTTCGTGCAACTCCACAATGGCTTCTTCGGCCCCAGAAGTATGTCCTTTGGCGCCGCATCGCCACCCATGAGGTAGGGAAGTGAAGCTGATGCTCCCACAGGAGCTCACTGAATCGCAAAAATCCCTCCTGACCCAGGCCGGGAGGTGCACTGTCGGGGGCCGCTGCTATCCCCCAGGCCAGTATGGTCAGTCCGAGCCGAACCGCTACGGACTTGAGCCAAAATGGCTACGGCCGCCTCCGTCCTCCCTCTCCGCCTCCGCATCCCCTCCCTCTCCTCCGGCTGCTGCCGCTTCCCCCTCCCGCCTCCGCCACTCCTTTCCTCGCCGTCCTCCTACTGTGCCTTCCTCCTCGTCCTCCTCCTCCTCCTCCTCCTCGTCCCCAATTCTCATTCTCCTCCTCAAGGATTCCACCTCGCGTGCCCCTGTCGCTTCCCGCCATCCTCCATGTCTTCCCTTTTCCTCTTCTGCCTCCTCCTCCTCTTCCTCCTCCTCCTCCTCCTCCTCCTGCTCCTCCTCCTCCTCCTCCCTGCCCCCTCTTTACTTCTGCACCTGCTCGTGTTCCTGCTGCTCCCTCCTCCCCCTCCTGTTCCTCCTTTCTGCGCCTTCTCGCCCCGCCTCCTCGCCTCGTGGTTCCCCCATTACGTTTCTGACTGTTGCTCATGATGCTGAAGCTGTCGCTTCGACTTTTAGATCTTGTTCCCAGCCACCTCTGCATCGAATTGTCCTTCTCCAGCTCATCTTCCACATCCCTGTGCATGTTCCTCTCCCTCCCCTCTAGAAGACCTGAAGGGATCTTGGGGGATTTCTGAAGAATCTGAAGAGTTCTGAAGAATCCTGAGGGAAGCGTGAAGGAATCCTGAGGATTCCAGAGGAAACCCTGAGGGTTCCTCAAGGCATCCTGTGGACTTCTACCCAGAAGCCCCGAGGATTCCTGAATTTGGATCCTGCGAGAAAGATTAAAGAATTCCTGAGAAGTCCTGGGGGATTCGTCAAGAATCGGAAGGGTTCCCAAAGAAACCTTAAGACTCTTGAGGGGATCTTGTGGATCTCTGAAGAGATACAGAAAGTCCTGAAGAAACTAGGGGATTTCTGATGATCCGGCCTGCCTCATTCTTCCGTCTTCTCGTCCACACACCCTCGTAGTGCCTCCCGCCCTATGCAAGGCATGCCGGAGGTCATCTTGGGCTTCCGTGTGCAGCATCGGACGCCGTGTGGGATAATCAGGGGGCACGTCCGAGACCCCCCCGTCACCTCCCAAGCCGCGTCGGCCCAAGCTTTCGCGGCCTTCCTCGCGGGCATGGGTGGCCCTTGGGGCCCCACCCGCCCTCTCGGGTGCCGTGGGGCACCCGCTGGCCCAGCTTCGCGAGGTACACTGAAGTACGGCCTGTGAAAAGGGTAGCTGTAGCGCGGGGAACTGTACGAACGAGCTCTTGGCCAGGCAGCTGGAGTGATGAGTGAGAGCTGTTAGTTAGTTGAAGTAGGACTTGCGCCCTCTGTGACTGAACGTTTTCCTGGCAATGCGCAAACACGACTCCAGGGAAGCACGCTGCTAACAGAACCCACCACGTGTGAAACAGAGTGAACACAGAGCAATCGCGTCCCAAATGATGCAACTGAGGCCTACATGCGGCAATCAACATGCATATTGATGCCGTGCGCAAGCCCTGTGTGAAAGAAAACAAAGCAATCAAACTCGTCGTTCAGACTCACTGAAGGGTTCCCAGGATTGCTTCTGCTGGGGCTGTGTTGCCTAAAAAACGCCAGCGACACCCTTAATGATGTTCATGGGGCCACCATTGCCCTTCTATTTGATCTTTTACATAAGAAAACAATGTGTGCTTCTCTACTGCGCAATTCCTCCAACCTCCACCTGGGAACCAACTCTTCCACTGGGGAGCCAGCCCTCCCACAAGGGTTCAAACCACTCATGGGGAGGAAGGGAGGGGAGGAGGATTGAGTGGGAGAAGGAGAGCGTCCCTCCCCCCCCCCGCGCAGGCTGCCGCGCAGGGCGTCTGGGGGCGGCGCCCTGATGCTGTCCCACGACGGCGCCAGGTGCTGGCGGATGCGCTGAGGAGCGGGCTTTGTTTGGCCCGCGCCCCAGGGGGGCGCACCACCCACCCTTCCCAGGGGCGTCGAGCGAGTCGTGGATGTCCGCGTGCGGGCCTGCTGGCTGCCCAGCCCTCTACACGGCACGGCACGGGCAGCCGATCTGCCAGCCAGGCGCGTTGGAAGAAAGGACTTCGCTGGCGATTCCGAAGGGGAGACGCACGGGACGGGAACGAGGGACGGGGAAGGCGTCGGCTCGGCCCTGTCAAGCCACTCTGCTCGCTGCTTGGCAGCTTCTGGAACAATTTGAGCGGCGGGGGGGAGGCCCGCGAGGCTCCAGAAGGGGTCAAAAATGTCGGGGGGCAAGAGGCGGGGATCTGGGAGCGTGGCTGGGCCAGGTGTTGGTCCTCCTCCTCCCCCTCCTCCTCGTCGTCGTCTTCGTCCCTCCTCCTCCTCCTCCTCTTCCTGCTCTTTCTCCTCCCTTCCCTACCTGTGGGGGCCTCTGGGGGCCTCCTGGGGGCGTCGCAGAGGAGAGCGGCAGTTGCAAGCACCACCCTCGACACCGAGTCCACTCGGAGCAAGGCCGCGGGCCCGACCCTGGTTCCGCTGTGAACGAGTCCTTGGAGTGTCAGGCGGGATGGCGCGGACCCAACTCCTCCTCCTCCTCCTCCTCCGCCTCCGACCAAATCCGAGGGCTTGCATCCGAATGTACTCATAGAACCAACAAGCCCCGACAAGAATATTTGAACAGGATCGAGGATGGGCTCTGGCCAAAGCTTCTGTCGTTGTCGGAGCAACGAGCCAGAGGCCGCATCCCTCCTTAATTAATCTTTTTCGCTTCGCGATTTGACCATTCCCATTCCCATTCCCATTCCCATTCCTCCTCGTCCTCCTCCTCTTCGGTCTCCTCGTCGGACTGGCGGCGACAAACATGTTCTCGGAAGACTCTCTGGAAACATGATGGTGCGGGCCGTGTTGGAGTCTTCGTGGAGGATTCCAGGGTATCCCACATGAGGTTGCAAAGCTCGAACATATTGATGTGGTGGCGAAGATTCGAAGTGAGATGGGTGAGGTGCACGGTCAGATTACAAAACATGTAGGAGCTGGGAAGGCCACGGCGAGGAATGTGAGAAGGAGCGTAGGGGGTCTGCGAAATGGACTGGAATTGCCTCCGGCACATATCGCCACCGTGCCTGGGTAATGGGTCAAAAGCCAAGAAGGTGTTAGGAGGGATTCCGAAGAAGGCCTCGCGGGGTCCTGTTGGGGGCCATTGTTTGGCCTCCTGGGGGCCATTTGGGAATATTCTGGGGCGTCGTGGGGGCCTTTGAAAGCCTCGCGGCAGCCTCTGGGGGCCTTCTTGGGGCCTCCTGGGAGCCTCCTGGGGCGAAAGACTCGATTTCTCGGTTCCTGCTCCTCCTCTTGGGCCCATCTTGGGGCCGTCTCTGAGGGCTCTGGGAGGGGGGCGCCCCTGGGGCCGTCGTGGAGCCCTGCTGGGTCGTCCCCGGGTGCCCTCCTGGGCGCCTCTGGGCCCGTCCTGAGGCGGTGTTGGAGGCCTCTGGGGACGTCGTGGATCGTCGGAGACTCGAATCGGCTACACGCAAGAGTGACCCTGGGTAAGAGTGACCTTTGGTGCGCGGTTCATCGGGGGTTGCGGGGAGGCCAAACACGAGCGCGCGAGACGCTAATACCGCATCGGGTTCGGCGATCGGGGGGCCCCATTGGCCCCGCACCAAAGGTCACTCTGGCGAAAGGTCACTCTTACGTGTAGTCGATCGAAAAGTGGAGGACCCCCCAAACACTGATGAACCCGGGGCGACCCCAACCAAGTAGAAGTTTCCTACTGCATGGACGCAGTGCTTGCTATTGCTCGGCATTGTTAGGCATGGCTCGGCACTGCTCGGCAGTGCTCGGCATTGCTCGGCATTGCTTGGCATTGCTTGGCATTGTCGAGGAACCCGAAGAACTTCGGGTTGCCGAGGAACCCGAGGAACCCGAGGAACGGGCAAAATAGCCCCCCGAGGCGCCAACCTTTCACCAAGTAAGAACCGAAGCCAGATGTGGGAAACAACCATCGTGGGGAACCGCAGATTTCGGCCTCTCGAGGCACCCGTCTGGAGCCTCGGGCGCCCACTGGAGCCTGCCCTGGGCCGTCCTGGCGCCTGCTTGAAGCCTCCCGGGGGACTTCTTGGGGTGCAAGATTTGAAATTTCGGTTCATGTTCTTCCTCTGGAGGCCATCTTGGGGCAATGTTTAAGGCTTCTTGGGCAATCCTCGGGGCCCCTGGGGCCGTCATGGAGCTCTGTCAAGCCGTCCCGGGGCCCTCCTGGGCGCCTCTGGGGCCCGTCCTGGGCCCGTCGTGGATTGCCGGAGACTCGAAAAGTGGAGGACCCCCGAAACGTGGAAACGGGTCTTGTCGCAACGTCTCGGGGGACAGGCGGGGGGGCAGCAGGGCCGGGGGAATATCTGAGCGGGGCGTGCAGCAACGCCGCGAAGCGGCTACATGGATGGCAACAGTTTTTCAATCATGCGCTGCAAGCGGGCCCAGACGGGCCAAGTACATATCTGATATCGGGAGGCCGATTGAGATGAGTTAGCCTCAACCATACCACAACACGAGTTGCAACAGGCGTCGGATTGATCTCATTCCCACTCGTCGTGAGAGCAGGATCGGGTCAGACTTCTAAAGGGGTGGGAAGCTTGAACGGACACAGAAGACATACAGGACAGGAGGATGGATGCACCTGCGCGGCTATCTTACACGGCCCTCCCCGACCCAACCTCCCGAGACGCGATAAATTAAGCTTGGAAAAAGCGATCATTATCGCAGTGAAAAGCTAAGGCTTCAGCAAGAAACTCAAGCCCGACAACCAGAGTAGCCAGACCAGATGCAAAATAAACCGCGACGCCAAACAACTGCAATGCGACAAGCAACTGTTTTTTTGTGTGGCCTCCCTGGACCTCCCCTAAACCACCCTCGCCCGAATCCTAAGCAAAGGTTTCAGGACAAAGCTCAAACCAGACCAACCAGACCAGCCAGACCAAATTCACAGAAACTACAATGCAACACGCTATGTTTTTCGGTGGTCGTCGAAGTGGTTGGCGCTGCCTCCCTGATCCTCCCCTAAACCTTTCTTGCCCGGATCCTAAGTTAAAACTTGAGCAGTAAGCTCAAGCCAGACCAACCAGACCAGCCGGACCAGATGCAAAACAAAACTGCCATGCAAACGAATCTGCAAGGCGAACAAAAATCGCAATGCAAAAAGGCTGTTGTTCGGTGGTCGTCGTAGTTGGTTGGCGCTCCCTCCCTGGACCTCCCCTAAACCACTCTCGCCCGAATCCGAAGCTAAAGCTGCAGGACTAAACTCGCAGGATTGGGCGGGCGGGAGCGAGCACCCCCGCCCCCTCCCCTTCCTCGAGCACAGAAGGCTACTGAGCATGAGTGTTCTGCATGCTTCTGTACGCTTCGTCAGCAATCAGCGGTGCTCGCAAGCCTTCTCCCCAAACAGCGCTTGCACCTGCGCCCGCAAGAGGGCCCCGGTCCACTGTTTGGACGCGCCTGCCAGCGGATGCGGCGCAAGCCGATTGTCATTTTTTCCATCTTTTCTCAATGCAAATGGGGCGAGTCACAGGTCCTCCATCTCATCCCCAGCTCGGTTTTTGGACCCGTGGCGTCGGGGCCACCGGGGCCACTTGCGCGCGGCCGTGCTGCGCCAGCTCATCGGACAGCCGCGACGGCCCGTCTGCTATGCTCGAAGCGGACGGAGCGCGCGAGGCACATGAACAGATGCAATCAATGCGTTTGAGGCCGAATTGTTGTCCACGAAGACGATGACGCGCCTTCCTTTCAACGCGCCCGCCCACGTAGTGAGGGCCACCCAGACGGGGTACAATTCAGACTGGCCGATCACCTGTGTCTTGCCAAGTGATTGCCAGTCTTCTACCACCGCCTCCTCGACAACGAGCGAAAGGAATTGCTTGCGCCTGGTCCTGTTCATGTCGATGAGCACCCCTCCGACTGCGACCTCCACGCCATCGTTCTCCACAGCGCCGTCCGTGGATAACAGCACCACGTCGTCCGCAGCGCGCGCGGGGGCCGTTCGGGGCACCGCCCGCTTGAAGTACTGAGCCCAGAAATTGCGCAGCCACTCAAGCCTCGGATCGCCCGCGGGGACCGGGCGCCTCACGAACTCAGCAAGCATCTGGAGCCCTATCGCGCCGGTCGCCCCAAATGCCTGCCTGGCCGCGCGCTCCAGCCGGCCACGGAGAGACGCGGCAGCCGCCTGCGAGAGCCGCCCGCCGCGGGCCGCATCGGCCAGCACGGTCAAGACCCCCTCCGCCCTGGACTCTTTGTTGCCGACCAGAACAAGCCCCCGCTCCAGTTCGGAGAAGTCGAAGACCACCCCCAAGGCGCCGAACGAAACCTGGAAGTCTTGCGCCGCGTTCCCTTCCTGCTTGCACCTCCACCCCAAGATTTTGACGAGGGCCTCCACCGCCCGACGAGCTGACTTTGCCGTGAGCGCCGCTTCGACTTGCGGGTTGTCGTCGACGCACTGCGCGCAGGCGGCCCAGAGCACCCTGGTGAAGGTAATTACTCCAGCGCCCGGCCGTGATCGGAGAAAATGTACACGGCGCTGCGGGCCCCGAAGGCGAGCGTGCAGAGGAGGAAATACTTCCTCGACTTCGAGTGCGGGCCCAACAGGCCCACGTCACAAAGCCCACCGAGCTTGGGAAACGGGGCTATGTTCTTGCACGCCTTCTCCAGGTCCAGCGTCCCGCCACGCAGCTCCAGCGCTCCAGCCACGGCATAGCCCCCGCGCAGCTTCCCGCGGAAAGCCTGGCCCGGAGTAGACACCGCGCCGTCAACGCCCGACAAATCGGCCTTGGCGTGCATCTGGGAAGTGTCGTTGTGGCCAAACTCTGAAAAATCATCCATCGATTGGCCTCCGCCAATTTTCCCCCTGCCGGATCCCCCGCCTCCGGGATCCGACCCAGTCTTCGCCCGCAACCTTCAAAACTTCGTCGAAAGTAAACGGGCCTTCGGCCCTCCCCGCCCGCACTTCGTCTATGGTCTTCTTCCAGACGGCTAAATCGCACTCTGGGTCCGCGGACGGGGTTATGGACCCGTCGAGGGCGCGCCTCGCCCAGGCTCCGGATCGGGGAAGGTCAAACAAAGGTTTGGACGCGGGGTGCTCATCGAGGTCGAAAGCTGGGTGAGCGGGCACCTCCCCGACCATCGGAGCACCGACTCGCGGCGTGCCCACGAGCAGCTCGGGGTTGGGAAATTGCGCCTCCCGCAACATCACTTCGAACAAGATTGTCCGCTTCTCGCCCAGACGCGCCCGCACGCGAGGGTGCGCCTGCGCCTTGAGCTCCGCCTCGCGGCCGTCCAGCTCGGCGGCCCTCGCCTTCAATTGGTCAATGACCCCAACAGGTGCCGCTTGCCCTCGTTCGGCCCTTTCGTCAGGACATTGAAAATGGCCTCGCTCGCGTAGTCGGGGACGTCCGCCAGGGCGTCGAAGGGGCGGCGCAACCGAACTGCCTCCTCCACGAACTCACCAGGGCACCAAGGGATGCCCACGGTAGCCGTGGCACAGGCCGCGCGCCCCTCTCCTTCGCCCGTTACTTCGAGGCGCATGACCAGGGCTGACCTGCACTCCGCCGACCACGGCATTGGTCTCGAAGTTATGGCCTTCCGGGAACCTGACGAGCTCCTCGCTCGTGAAGGACACAACGTATTCCGACGTGAACTCTGGGGCTAGCAGCGTCACGCCCCGGCGCTGCTTGCCGACCGCGGCCGCCCGCTGCGCCAAAGGGAACCGAGCCGCTGCCACCGCCGCGGCAGCCAGGCGAGCTCCGCCAGGCACCGGCGGCGCCAAGGCGGCCGCAGGCCGCGCGGCCCACGCTGCAGCCACTGCGTCGGCCACCTTGCTGCACAGCCGAAACGGGCACATGGACTCTTCAACAGCAAACTGGCGAGCGCCGACCGCCCAGGGAAGGTGAACATGGGACTTGTCGCGCTCAACGCTGGGCGCCGCCAGCGCCGCGCAGTTAGTTCTGATACGCTGTGTCTTGTCCCAGCCGCCTCTGTGCATGCGGGCCTGGAAAGTGACATCCTGGTCCCCGGCCGCACCGCAGAGGTCAACGACGAACTCTATCCACCAGAACGGAGCTCTGTGGGGGCCGTCCCACGCCCACCACACCTGGCGTTCCTGGCACCACTGTGCAACGCTGGCGAAGAACCGAAAAAGCTCGTTCTCCCTGGCGGCTCTGGTCTGGTCATCATGGCCGATGCCAACCACGCCAAAAGGGTCGGCCTCCGCGCGGAGCTGCCCAATCGCCGCGCACCGGGACCTGGCTGACGTCCCTGTGGGCGCGGACATCCACAGCAGGGCCAACGGGCCCGTGGACGCCAGCAATTCGCGAGTTTGCTGCTGGCCTTCTGGCGCCGACAAGTCGAGATCCACCACTGGACCTTCAGGCGTATGCTTGTTGCGCCAACAGTCCACGCCGACGCCGTTGAAGCCCCTGGCAAGGAAGGCGTCTGTGAGGCGCGCTGAGCCAGCGCCCAGCTCGATGACCCACGGGCCACTCGACTTCGCTGCGCTGCCATCAGGCTGGCCAGGCTGACATCGTCGTCGTCGTCGTCGTCGTCGTCGTCGTCGTCGTCGTCGTCGTCGTGGTCGGTCCCCTGTCCGTCCCTCTTGGGGTCGGGCTGCCGCCGATCAGCGCTGCGGCTGGCCAGGCCGACTGTCCGCGGCCGCCCCACCGTTTGCCAGGGTCCGGCCTGCAGGGAAGAACAGTATACCCCCCAAAAGAAAAGGGGTACGGTCGAAAACGACGGGGGCGGGTATCGAGGGTTTGGGAAATACGCGTTAACAGACACTCGAACAGATAAGAGCGAACTGTCCTAAACTATTGTTGTTGGTGTTGCTGTTGTTGTTGTCGTTGTTGTTGCTGTTGTTGTTGAAGCTGTTGTTGTTGTTGTTGTTGTCGTTGCGGTGGCTGTTGTTGTTGTTGTTGCACTTTGCCCAAGCGCCGCGCTCCCGACACCCAGGCGCCCAGGAGTCGCGCCCGTTGTGGCCCCATGTGCGTGCCCTTCGTGGCCCCGCTGCCGCCATTCGTGTCCCCCTCACTGTCCTACGTGGCCCAGTTGCTACCCTCAGTGGCCCCATAGTTGCCTTCAGTGGCCCCGCATTGTCTGCACTTCGTGGCCCCCGCTCGTTCGCGCTTTTCGTGGCCCCATATGCATTCCCTTCGTGTCCCCGCTGTCGCCCTTCGTGGCCTACCTCGTGCCCTTCGTGGCCCTGCTGTCGTTCTCTCTCGCTCTCGCTTTCGCTCGTCGTCGCCGTCGTCGTCGTCGTCGCCGTCGTCTTCGACGTCGTCGTCGTCGTCGTCGTCGTCGTCGCGGTCGGTCCCCTTGGGGTCGGGTCGACGGTCCGCGGCCGCCCCGCCGATCAGCGCTGTCGCTGGCCAGGCCGACGGTCCGCGGCCGCCCCGCCGCTTGCCGGGGCCCGGCCTGCAGGGAAGAAAGGTATACCCCCCAAAAGGGATTCGATCGAAGACGAAGAGGGCGGGTATCGAGGGTTTGGGAAATACGCGTTATTGGACACTCGAGCATATAAGGGCGAACAGTCTTAAACTTATTATTGTTGTTGTTGTGGTGGTTGTTGTTTTTGCTGTTGTTGTTGTTGACTGTTGAATGTTGAATACTGAACAATTATTATTGTTGGACCCGCCCAGGCGCTTTGGCGCTCTCGCCTCGGCGCCGGCTACATTGTCATCGAAAATTGGGCTCACGCTCGCGCTGTTTGGGGGGGCGCCAAAACTGGCCCCCCAACAACAGCAACGCTCCCGCTCGAGACTTCCTTCTTTTTTACTCAGGGCCGGTGCTCTTGCTCGCCGCCGAAAGCCGCCGTCCCAACAAAACCACCGCTCCCGCTCGAGACGTCCTGCCGTTTTTCCTTGGATTTGGCGCGCTACTCCTTCTGTCATCGGCGCCGCCCCCAGCAACAACAACGCTCCCACTCGAGGCTTCGTCCTTTTTTACTCAGGGCCGGTGCTCTTGCTCGCCGCCGAAAGCCGCCGTCCCAACAAAACCAGCGTTCCCGCTCGAGACTTCCTCCCGCTTTACGCCGGACTGGCGCCCTACTCTTTTTTGAGTTGGAGCCGCCCCCAGCAAGAACAACGCTCCCGCTCGAGGTTTCCTCCCTTTCTCCTCAGGACGGTGGTGTTCCTCGCCGCCGACAGCCCACGTCCCGACAAAACCACGGCTCCCTCGTCGCCGCCGACAGCCGCCGTCCTAACAAAACCAGCGCTGCCGCTCGAGACTTCGTCTTGTTCTACGCTGGACTGGCGCTCTACTCTCTTCAGCAATGGCGCCGCTCCCAGCAACAACAGCGGCCCAGCTCGAGACTTCTTTCATTTCTATTCCGGGCCATGTCCTTGCCTCGCCGCGGACAGCCCCCATCCCCACCAAGGCAATGCTGTCGCTCGATACTTCCTTGTGCTTTACTCTTGGCTGGGGCTCCACTGGCAGTCTCGCATCGGCGTAGCAAGGCGCCGGCATGCGTTTCCGAGGCGGGATATGTTGAAATTCCTCGGAGGAGGTGCTTGCAAGACCTCATCGGGCGGGAGATTTGGGAATGGGAATAACGGGCGCCGCTATAGAACAAGAGTCCCCCATGATGGGGATGGTTATCATGATGGTCGGATGCTTCGTGTGGAAACATCGCGCATGCAGGTACAATGATTATTGTTGTTGTTGTTGTTGTTGTTGTTGTTGTTGCTGATGTTTGCTGTCGTCGTCGCCCCCGCGACCCGGCCCGCGACCCACCCGCGACCCACCCGCGACCCACCCGCGACCCGCCCGCGACCCACCCGCTATCCACCCCGCAACCCACCCCGCGACCCACCCCGCGACCCGGCCGCGACTCGGCCGCGACTCGGCCGCGACCCAGCCGCGACCTGGCCCGCGACCCACCCGCGACCGCAACGGTGACCCAATCTCCTCCCGGGTTTCGCGCGTTGCTTTTACAAGGGTAAATGAAATGAAATGTCGCCGCCACCGGTTTACAACAACAGCGTCTCCCTCCTGATACTTTCTCACAGTATACTCCCAAATCGCGCTCTCGCGCGGGAATTCCTCACAATGTATACAAGAGTCGCGCTCTCGCGTGGGACTTCCTCGGAATTGACTCAGACGCCGCGCTCTCGACATTCAGGAATTGCGCTTTCGCTGTAGATTTCCGCACGACTTATTTTGGAATCGCGCTATCGCTTGAAACTTCCTCGCGATTCATGCAGGGCGCGCGCTTCAGCAACCCGCCTGCTCCTCCTGGTCGCCTGTGCCCGCTTTCCCGACCCGCCCGCTAGAGTCTACCTGCCCGATCTGTCCGTCTGGTTCTGCAACGCGCTTTCTGCTCCTCGTCCCTCTCCTGCTACTCTGTCTCGTTCTCCATCCTCCTCCCTCCCTCTTGCCCTTGCCTTCCATCCGTCCTCTCTTCGCCTACCTTTGCGGCTGCGCGTAATTCGCGTCGCAGGTAAAACAAAACATATACCCATGAGGGGGTACGGTCCAGGACGAAGAGGGCGGGTGTCGAGGGTTTGGGATATACGCGTTGAATGGCACGCGAGCAGATAATATCGAACACGATGTTACACATAGTGTTGTTGTTGGTGCTGTTGTTGCCCTTGTTGTTGTTGCTGGTGTTGTTGTTGTTGTTGTTGTTGTTGTTGTTGCTGTTGCTGTTGAACATTATTTATTCTAAAGAATAATTATTGTTGGGCCCCCTGGTGCGCGCCCCCCCTGCGCCGCCTAGGCCGCAGCTACATTTTCATCATTTTCGTGAGGAAACCTCAGGTAAACGATGTGTCAAGATCCGGTTGTTTTGTTGTAATCCGCTTTCCCTTGCAAAAAACACTATAAAATGACATTTCTTGTTCTAATATAATCAAATTTCAAGAATCCCTTGCAAAAAATAAGGTAAAGTGGACATTCGCGCGCGCAAGACGAAATCCTTCCAAAAGCTTAGTGTTCGGAGCGATTTTAACATAAAAACATCAAAAAACCAATGGTTTTTCAACAAAAAATGTCAAAATCTCATCCCGCGCGCTCTTGCGGATTCGTAGGAAACCCAACACTTTTTAAACATTTCTGTCAAACGGGCTTTTGCGAGCAACTTTTTCGAACTTCTGCGACAACGGTTGCGCACCTGCCAGGGCCATCATCCCTGTCAAATAATACCATGCGGGACACATTCGTTTTTTCTTCGCGCGCGCACGCCGAAATCTCCAAAAACCATTGGGTTTTTAAGAATTTTAGCACCGCGCATCATAAAATCACACGAATCGCACCGTAGGTCCTCGAAAAACACCTGCAACATCCCAGGAACTTGACCCAAAAATGTGACCAACTCCGCTCTCTCTGTCTCTCTCTCTGTCTGCTCTCTGTCTCTCTCTCTGTCTCTCTGTATTATGTATTGTATGGCACAATTGCACCATGCTGGGCACATGCGCGCCCCGAATAAGTGACCAAGTTCTGTGGGTGTGTACCCCACGCCAGTGTAGTAGCCACGGTCGTCCGCACGCCACGAAGTGAAGTGTCCCAACGTCATAGGGCGGGAAGCTGGGTTTGGGTGGTCGCGAAGAGTCGTTTGGATATTTGGTAGAGCTTGTAATGCCCCCCCACGAAGTGGGGGTATTGCCTGGTGTCGTATGAAAACCCTGGCACTGGGGAGAACACCACGCGTTCGGGTAAAATGATTGTTGTTGTTGTTGTTGTTGTTGTTCGTGTTATTGTTGTTGTTGTTGGTATTGGTGTTGGTATTGTTACCGTCGCGGTCGGTGTTGTGATTGGTGTTGGCGTTGTTGCTGTTGTTGTCGTCGTTGTTATTGTCGTCGTTGTTGGTGCTGTCGTTGTCGTTGTCGCTGTCGCTGTCGTTGTCGTTGTTGTTATTGCTGTTGTTGTTGCTGCTGTTATTGTTGTTGTTGTTGTCGTTTGTTGTCGTCGTCACCCGCGCGACCGCCCTCGACCCGCCCGCGACCCGGCCCGCGACCCTCCCGATACCCTCCCGCGACCCGCCCGCGACCCACCCCGCGACCCACCCGCGACCAAGCCCGTGACCCGGCCCGCGACCCGACCGCGACCCACCCGCGACCCACCCGCGACCCGCCCGCCACCCACCCGCGACCCGCCCGCGACCCACTCGCGACCCACCCGCGATCTGGCCCGCGACTCACCCGCGACCCGCCCGCGACCCACCCCGCGACCCACCCACACTGCTTTATCGACATAGTCGGCTTCTGCGGCGGGCTCGTAACTTGTAAAAATTAAGCGCCTGCGGCGGGGCTAGACTGCCGACGTCCCCGCCGCCCCCTCACTCTTATCCGCAACTGCGGGGTGCTACGTATATCCCCAGAGGAGCCGCCCTTCTCACAGAATGCTCGGCACTAGCCACTCGCAGTGCCACGTGTGCATAGGCAGGGCGTCCCAATCGTGCGACGGCGCGCCGGGACGCGGGCAGAGCTGCCGTCACGCACCTAAAGCCGAAAAAGCACCGCCGGCTGAGGCACTGACAAAATGTCATTCTGGTGCAGAGGAGATAGGCTGAT